TCAATGAAATGAAATAGATTTTGAAGACAATTGCGTTTGATGCCAAATATAGGAAAATGAACTGCATGTACAAAAGAAGGGGTATAGAAAGGTTAACACTAGTAAGTATGGCATATGAAGCTTATTATAGCTACTTGGTTATTTTCCATTCACCCTGGAAACTTTAGGTTTAAAAGCATCGTCTCTGTCCTATAGCTTTTAATGGAGTCTTTCACCTCTTGTGACCCATTTTATATGAAGAGTTTATTTTAATTATGGTTGGTAAATTATTTTAGTAGGCAATAAGCTTTCTCTATCAGAATTAAATCGTCAAAGCACTAGGAAACATAATGGGTGGAGAACTGGTGTTGGGAAAACACATTTCACAATATTAAGAGTTCTGTACTTTGCTTTGTTCCAGAAGTCTGTTCATAGGTGGGGAAGACAAGGAATCAGTGAAGATTTTGCTTGAAAGACACTGTCCAATACTTGTCATCTCAGAAGACCATAGCAGCTGAAGGGAGATGTCTAGGGCATCTTTCCAGGAACCACAAGGTTAGCAAGGACATCACACCTCAGTGACACAGTCACTGTTTTTGCCCAGCCCAGGCCAACAGTGACACTAGAAGAGACAGCAAAAGCTAGATGTTACATTAAATTCTACTCTTCTCTGCTAAAGCACTGTCCTGCAATGCTCTAACTCAATTAGAGTATCGCTCTTGGGACAGGGCATACTGGAAACAAAGGACAAGTTTCCAAGCTCCTAAAGAAAACCCAAACCATCTGATCTCATCTTCCTAAGGGCACTGGAGTTTTTCCTGTGCATTATTAGAGAATGGAATGGGAACTTTGGCAGCACTGCTCATAAAGGTAATGCACTGACCACTCCATTTGTTCGATATAGCTTGGCAAGTATCTAAGAAAGTATTTATGTAATTGATGCCTAACTGTCAAGGTGCTCACTAAAATATAAGTCCCACGAGGGCAGGAATCATCTTGTACTTTTTTACTGCCTCGATATTCCTCCCACTGAAGAGAAAGAGATTTTTAGGAAGAAATTGCATGTCAGGAGCTGGTGGCTCACACCTGTAGTCCCAGCTATTTGATCTTATGAGTGTAAGGGTTGCCAAAAGGAGGCATCCATCTGGTTCAGGCAGAAGAGATTATGAGGAGAATCAAAGAGGTAGCCTGCATCAGATGGAGGTGTGCAGAAAGGGTTGTGCCAGCCAGTGAAGAGCAGTGCATAGTGAGCCGCATACAGGGTGCAGTGGGTAGTGAGTTGTAGCTGGACTGATGGTGGAGAGAAATTTTCTAGGGAAAGGTGAGGAGGAGGTGTGGCCCAAAGCCGATGTGGAAGTGACCTCGGAGCCTGTGGAACCTCTCACTGTCCGAAGGAGGTGCAACCAGGGTGGTTCACAAAGTGACTTCAGCAGATGAAGAGCCTGGGGTCTTTCTGCTGGCTCATAGTCAGGTGATTAACAGTTACAGGTGATTACCAGTTTCAGGCAGGTGATTTCTGGTAAGGCTATATGCTGTCCTTCCTGAAGAGGAGGGGTGCTCTCTGGGGGCAGATCTAACAGTGAAGGCAAGTGTATTACTACAATTAATTTGGAGAAAATAAGTAGTAGGATATTTTATGATTATGTAAGACATGGTATTAGTATTTTTTGTTTGTTTGTTTTTGCTGGTCCTGGGCCTTGAACTCTGGGCCTGGGCACTGTCCTTCAGCTCTTCAGCTCAAGGCTAGCACTCTACCACTTGAGACACAGCACTACTTCTAGGTTTTCTTCTGCTTACATGGTGCTGAGGAATCGAACCCAGGGCCTCATGCCTGCAAGGCAAGCATTCTACCACTCAGCTACCTTCCCAGCCCGGTATTATAGGCATTAATTTGATATCATGGAAGATACGATATTAAGATGATTGAGATAGGCAAAAATAGGCTAGGATCTATTTAGGAAGGGAAGGCAATAGGATTTGATTTTCAAAGGCCAAATTAATAACGACATAGTCCCTGGATGACAAAGCTAGTGGAGCAGCCATTAAATGCTGAGTTCCAACTTTGGTTGAAAAAAGAAGATAAAGGGATGACACAGATCAAGCTGTCTATATCAACTGCTTCCTTAACTGGCACAACAATGTAATACATAACCTAAAAATCTTGAAAATCAAGAGAAGGGGTGGAATAGGAAATGGTGGGTAAGAATGTTGAAAGGGGTGACATTGTTCAAGAGTCACTATGTTCCTAAAGTTCTTGTTTCAATACCTACTCCTTTGTACAACTACTTAAAGTTAATAAAAATATTCTTAAAAAAAAGCCCAACAGTTTATACAGATAGTGGCAAGAAACTGAAACTTACAACATTTACTAACTTGAGACTTGTGCCAAGCTGGGCCAAAGCCATAACTTAAATGGATTATCTAATTTATTTTTAATTGCAGCCCTGCAAAATACGTGCTTTCTTCTTTTTTGGATACAAGAAAATGGAGACTCTGAAAGACTTATTAACTTGGCAGCTTTTGGGGTTAAAAGTTGGCCAAACTGAGAATTAAGCTTAAATCTCTTCAGTTCTAAAGCAGGTATTTCTCAATGACTAACTCATTTGGCTTCATGATAATGCAGGCCATCTCAGAGAAAAATTTCTTATTTCAAAAGAGCATATGAGCACAAATCTGAGTCTATGAGGCAAGCATTTTATGAGAAATTTCCAGCCCTTCATTCAGGGACACCCAGAGAAAACGACACCACACAGCGGCATCTACATTCTCTCCTCCTTACTCTGTGCCCAACTGGCTGCTTTCTTCTTGTTGTTCTTGCACAAACCCCAAGTTCCTAGCTCCCCACCTTCACCATTGAAAAGTTCCCGCACTAGTGTGTCTAGACTAACAGCAATGATAGTGTGCAGGTTCCTGTAGGATGTTCATAAATTTTTTTACTCCCTGTATTTTACTTTCCATAATGTGATATATGATGCAGTACAAATAAACTGCCTTTTAAGAAGTCTAAGTTGCTGGGCTCTAGTGGCTTTTGCTATAATCCTAACTCAGGAGGCTGAGATCTGAGGATTGTGATTCAAAGCCAGCCGGGGCAAGAAGCTCCATGAGACTTTCATCTCCAGTAAACCAGTCACAAAACTGGAAGTGGCACTGTGGTTCAAGGGTAATAGAGTGCTAGCCTTGAGCTGAAGAACTGAGGGACAGCACTCAGGCCCAGAGTTCAAGCCCCACGATTGACAAAAAAAAGTCTAAGTCTTCAGAAAGTATTAAAGCCAGGTACCGATGGCTCATGCCTGTAATCCTAGCTACTCAAGAGGCTAAGATCTGAGTACCATGGTTCAAAGTCAGCCTGGGCAGGAAGAAAGACTATAAGACTTTTATCTCCAATTAACCAGCTGAAAGCTGGAAATGGAGCTGTGGCTCAAGCTAGTATGCCAGTTTTGAGTGAAAAAGATAAGGGACAGTGCATAGGTCCTGAATTCAAGCTCTAGTACTGATGTATGGACATGTCCATATGTGAACGTGTACACACACACACACACACACATGCACTCATATATTGGCTGTTTAAATAAGCTAGTAAACAAAAACTTCAGACTAGGACTTGATGGTTCTGGCTGCGGACCAACAGTTCTATTTTATATGTCTTTATCTCTACCTGTAGAGTTTGATCATATATGCATGAAACATAGATACGTTCAACTATCCCATATCCCCTGAGACAGGACATAAATCTACCATTCCGTCAGTTTTAGTCCCTGAAGACTTCCTGCACTGTGAGTTCTTCACTGAGAAGAGAGGACGTGATTGTACTGTTTAAAGGTACACATTTTAGATGTACCACAATATCTAATTTCACTTAACTACTCTTCCTAGTCATCCATGAAAGAAACAGTGATCTTTTCCAAGATGGGAAGGAGAAGAATATGGCAATACTCTGGATTGTTTAGGAGATATTAAGAGGTTGCTCCTGGTAATTTTCTTTACATGTTACTTTGGTCCCACATGCTCTTTTGGTAGCTTAACCCCTCAGACAGACTTTGGTAACGGTAGTCTATGTTCCTGGAACCATCTGACTTTTAAATTGCATTTTGCATTTATTATTCAACATAAATGAGCAGAAATTGAAAAGTAAGGACACAAGTGATAAACATGGATCTCCAACAAATGAGGTAGAAATAGAAATCATTGTTTCTTGAGGTCAAATACGAACAAAAGAATGAAATCATGCAGAAATTCTAGACTTAGCTCCTACCCCTAATCGTGAAAGATCTTATAACTATTTTTAGCTTTCTAGAAAAGAATTCTCATAATCACATGCACTTAGCTAGACATTATCACATAGACACATTTTATTTTTTGTTTTCTTAACTTTTTCTTTGTTGGTCTTGGGGCTTGATCTCAGGGCCTGCGTGCTGTCCCTGAGCTTTTTGGCTTAAGGCTAGTGCTTTACCACTTTCAACCACAGCTCCACTTCTGGTTTGCTAGTGGTTAACTGAGAGTCTCATAGACTTTCCTGCCCAGTCTGGCTTCCAACAGCGATCCTCAGATCTCAACTCCTGAGAAACTAAGATTGCAGGCATGAGCCACCGGCACCCGGCAACACATAGACATTTTAGAAAGAGATCATGTGCAAACATACAGCCCCATTATTTTTGAATTGGCCATGCTGCCTTCTAAGGAAGATGCATTCATTCTTGCTGCTTGGAATTTTGTCCATGTCATTAGTAAAAAATCCAGTGAGCTATAGTCAACTCAACTGTTGGTATCTATCACAAAGAGCAATAAGCAATTTGAGGTGGTTCCTAAATCTTATGAATCATTGGGTCTACAAGAACTTGTGGAATGCTTGCTAAAAAGGGCTCTTTGCAAAAGATAGAAGTAGATGAATAACCAAACTACCAATTTTTTTTTCTTGGAGATTCATTTCTTGTCACGAATTAGGAAAAAGAGAGAGACACTCCGCCATGGCCATAAATTGCCTCCTGCACCGAATTTCACTGCTCTCGTTGCTCTGTTCTTACCTATCCAAAGAAATGCAGCATAGGTGAAAAATGGATGCTGTTGTGAGCAGGACGTCGAGAGATGTCCGGACGAGGCAAAACATCTCCCCATAAATCCAGATGTCTTGGACAAGCTCAATGGCACCAAAGGGCATCACCAGCACCGACACCAGCAGATCCGCAAAGGCAAGAGATACAATGAAATAATTGGTTTTTATTTTCCTGCAAATGAAAAGGTATAAGCAAGGTGGCAGGGGGAGGGGCAACAGAAGGAGAGCGGGAAGAAAGAGCAAGAAAACAAAAAGGGTTGAAAGGAAGCAAAGAAAAAAGGAAAGAAGGGTGGGAGGGAAAGGAAGGAAAAGTTACACAGTTAACTCAGTCTGAGATTCAGCTTCTCCTCTGTAATGTGGAGGAGATCCTTCACAGGCTAGCCTCTTCTGAGTTCTCCAGACCACCTGGCACCCAAAGCCCTCTGATCAGAGGTCCTGCCTGCCTGGAGCTCCTGCCCAAGGTTCACATGCCCTGCGTCTCAGTCCTCAGCCCCTCCCACAAAAACCAGCAGATCTGGGCAGGCCTAACTGCAGCTGGCCTGCAGCCCTGGCTGTTCCTCCCATTTAATTTCCCGAAGCCGTGTTTTACCCCAAATCCCCAGCTGCATCAGGAGAATGCTGCCTAACTATAACGGTTACTGTCAGAAAACCCCTGGACAGAAGGCTAGATGCCAGCTTTAGCATTCAGCTGCACACGTGCAGAGGACTTCCCTACTTCCCCGCTCCTAGCCCTCCCCACTCTCCCTCTCCCATATAAATTTGACCTTGAACAAAGGAAGGGTCCATTTCTCCCTCTCCTGTGAAAGACATGGTCTTGTCAGCCCTGCTGACAGTAAAACTCCATTTCCTGTATATGACTGTGTCCCTGTGGTCTGGGATGGTGGCTTTCACTCAGGCTGTTTACATAGAAGCTCTCTCTTCCAGCTGTTGGACTATTTACATACCACAGTGGCTTAGGGAGCCGACTGAAGGTACATGCCCAGTGGTCACATCCCACCATTTGCTGCTCTTAGATAGGTTATTACATGTCTCAGATTTGGGCCAGAATTATGCTTTTACATTTTATTTGGGTCACCCTAGGATCAGGGCATGGCTTGCTCAGAAAGGTATCTCATATCCTCTTCTAGGGGTCAGCGCCTCTTACTCCATACTAAAATCATCTGTGTGGGGGGCAGGGGGCATGCCAGTAGCAGAGTTTGAACTTAAGGTCTCATGCTCTTGCTTGGCTTCAGTCACACCTCCAGTTCAGGATTATTGCTAATTAATTGGAGATAGAGTCTCAGGGACTTTTAGCATTATAGGCATGAGCTACCAGCTCCTAGATTACCCAATGAATTTAATAGACATCCAGATGTCCATTAAATAGACATAACATGTAATCAATGCACCCAGCTCTCATCTCAAATCAGTTAATTCAAGAGCTTTGGGTGGGTAACATCTCTGTCCATTCAATGAGTGCTAAGTGAAATTAGGATTTTTAACAACAAATAGTTTTTTCATGTTCCATACAAAATTTTGCACAACACATACTGATATCACTCTGTAACACTTTTGGAAAACATCTGAGATGATACTAATTGTAGCCAGGGGTGAGGTTAATGCAGGAGAAAATATAGCTGCATTGCTCACTACTCAATCAGCCCTTCTCTGAACCAATTGTAACATGAGGCTGCATTAGATGTGTCCTGAAGAGTTGAATAAATAGTGCCACAACCATATGAACCAATGAAATGTCATATAGGAAAACAGAGAGGAAGGAAACTGAAGTGTTTGCACTGGTGGCACTACATGAGATTGTCAATTCTACATTTTCAAACTCTTCCCATGAATATTCTTTGTAACTGTGAATTCAAGGAACCTAACTCTCCAGGGAAAAGCCAGTGCTGCACTTGTGCTTCCTAAGAGTTTCCCCCATGCTGACCCACCTGAGCTGCCGGTCCCGGCACACCGCCACCATCACCAGCAGGTTTCCCAGGATGGCCATCAGGATGACTGCCGAAAGAAACGTGAGCAGCACCACCTTCTCCACTGACCCGAAGCCCTCCTTGGAACTGGAAGAAAAGAGCATACAAAAAACCATGAAGAACTAGAGGAGAGTCGGGGACCATGGAAAGAAAAGTCATTTTTTTAATCTTTGGGAAGGGAACATCACCATCAGTTGCAACGTGTATATATGCCAATGTCTGTAGCCACCATCTGATAAGCTACCCAAGAGAGCTCCTACATTATGACAGGAGGAGGCCTCACTGGATTTTCTTCAGAGACCTTACAAGTACTCAGGGATGTTTTTGGTTCATTCTGATTATTTACTTTGTTCCAGGCCCTGGGAACTATCGTGAAAGAGTAAACCACAGTCAGTTTGTGGGGACATGTACAGAATCAGTCAATGTAAGCCCCGTGAGGCTGTTTTCTATGTTGTCAGTGTATCATTTACATATCAGATGAAGGAAAGGGGATGAATGAAGGGCAGGGCTGGAGCAAGGATCTTATAAACAAATAAAAGTGCCATCCTGGGGCTGGGAAGGTGGCTCAGTGGTAGAGTGCTTGCCTTGCATGCCTGAGGCCCTGGGTTCAATTCCCCAGCACCACATAAGCAAAAAGTAAAAAGCCGGAAGGGGCACTATGGCTCAAGTGGTAGAGCGCTAGCCTTGAGCTGAAGAGCTGAGGGACAGTGCCCAGGCCCAGAGTTCAGGCCCCACGATGGACCAAAAAAAAAAAAAAAAAAGTGCCATCTTGGTTATTGAACTCTATTCTAGGCCATGCAGAAATTGTTGTTTACAGGGATGCTGGGAGAGAAGGCCATGCGTGGAGGTTGTCCTTGTGTCAGATTGCCTGGACAAACTGATTTCAGGTTCTCTGAAGTCACAGGAGAAACAGCAACCCACAAGTCAGGTCAGGGGCTTTTTTTCCTCTCCCTGAATTATATTTCTTTTGGTGCCAAGCACACGTTACTTGTGTCAAAGTTCCAATTAATGTTTATGTAAATTCTGCTTTGGACTTAATTCTACAAACACTTTTTTCCCAGTGAGAATTCAGAATTTGGTTTTATTAACTCAAACTGAGTTGTACTTTATCAATGAAAGCATAATGTATACAAGTTATTAAAAAATTACAGGAAAGGAGGTTTATTATGATCATACAATAAAAAGTTCTTTCAAAGAAGGCTCAAAGCTTCTCAAAGAGTTCTAATTTTTATAGCATAAACTATTTTCTGAAATGACTTACTGATTGATCTATACATTGCCTCCACAGACTGACTTTGGTTATCTTTTTCAAGATAACTCCCAGTGTCTGGAACAATGTCTGTTGTACAGGGTATGAAATATGAGGAGATATATGTAACACGTTCTTGATTGTTTTCAGGTAGAATGAAGGACACTATATTCACAATGGTGAAGTTTATTCTGCTGTGTGTGTGTGTGTGTGTGTGTGTGTGTGTGTGTGTGTGTGTGTGTGTGTGTGTGTGTGTGTGTGTGTATGTGTGTATCTGTGCTGGTACTAGGGCTTGAACTCAAGGCTTGGGCTTCGTCCTTGAGTTATTTTTTGCTCAAGGCTAGATCTCTACCACTTGAGCCACAGCTCTACTTCTGGTGTTTTTGGTGATTAATTGGAGATAAGAGTCTCATGGACTTTCCTGTCCGGGCTAGCTTCGAACTGTGGGCCTCAGATCCCAGTCTCCTGAATACAAGTGTGAGCCCTCAATGCCCAATTTGCTGTGTCTTTAAGATTGGCTGAAAGTATACAGATTTCATCCAGAGAAGAGAATGTTTAGAGATTGTGATTTGTAACGATTCACAGGCCTGCTACTTAAAGTTTAAATTTTCAGATTGGTTCATACAATACTATTTTCTGAGCACCTATTCTATGTCAGCCATTGTATTTCCTAGGGAAACTACAACAAGAAAGAAAAGTCTAGCTTCTGAAAGGGAGGATCATGGTTCAAGTCTGACCCAGATAGAAACATTCCAGGAACTCCTTCATACATAGCTGGGTGCAGTGTTGCTTCCCTAGCATCCCAAGGTGAGGGGCTGAGATTGGGCAGGATCAAAGTCCTAGGCCAGCCTCCATAGAAAAATCCATGAGACTCCATCTCCATATGAAGGGAAGCTGGACATGGTAGTCCGTGCCTGTGGTTCTAGAAATAATGGGAAGACATTAGGCAGACTGGGGCTCGGGTATGCATCTGCCATAGAAATAACGCCCTGTCCTGAAAATAATTAGTGAAAAATAGCGTTGGCAGTATAGTTCAGTGATATCTTGTCTGCCTAGCAAGGGCAAGACCCTCAGTTCAAACCCGAGTACCACAGACAAAAAAAGAAGAGACAGTACATAGATCCACAGAAACTATATAAAGCGTTAGCAGATAACAGGTCTAGGAGAGTAAGGAGTTAGCACTGCCAGTAGGCATAGAAGGCTGGCTGCTTGTCAGGGCCTTGCCAGAGAAGCTCAGTGACAAGACTGCCCATCTCACTTTGTGAAGGTTGTATGACTCCAGCCAGCAAATCAACCTTAGTTAATGGTTTTCAATCTTCACTATCTGTTGATGCTGGGTGCACATCCTCAGAGATACTGATATAAATGGTCTGGTTCACAAGTGAATATCAGAATGTTTTTCTGAAATGGTTCTGAAGTGCAAGTAGAGTAAATATCCCTGCAGGAGGAGGGGCAAGACTTAATACTGGATATAAAAGATCTTCCCATCAACTCAGGATGGTCTGCAATAGCGCCCTGGTGTTGTTTGAGCTCCCTGGCACAGACAATGTTGAAGATAACCTTCATTTTCTGGGTGTCAGTGCCTCATGCTGTAACCCTAGCTACTCAGGAGGTGGAGACCTGAGGATCAAATCGAGCCCAGGCAGGAAAGTCCATGAATCTCTTATTTCCAATTAATCACCACCAGACGACAGTGGCTCACACTTGTAATCCTAGTTCCTCAGGCGGCTGAGATCTGAGATCATGGTTCAAAGCCAGCTCAGGCAGGAAAGTCCATGAGACTCTTATCTCCAAGAAACCACAAGAAAACCATAAGTGGCGCTGTGCCTCAAGTGATAGAGCACTAGCCTTGAGCTGAAGAGCTGAGCCAAAGTGCCAGGCCCAGAGTTCAAGCCCCATGACCAACAGCAAAAATCAACAAAAAAGTCGGAAGTAGAGCTATGGCTCAAATGGTAGAGCACTATCCTTGAACACAAAAGCTCAGGGACAGCAGCATGCTGGCCCTGAGTTCATGCCCTAGGACCTGCATGAAAAGAAAAGGAGAGAAGAGAAGAGGAGAGAACAGGAGAGGAGTGGAGAGAACTAGAGAGGAGGGGAGAAGGAAGAGAAAGGGATAGAAGGGGAGGGGAGAGGGGAAGGGAAAAGTACTACTTCCTCCTCATTAGGATGGCTATGGCAAAAACAAAGCAATAACAACAACAAAACATGAAAAAACATAGCAGTGAAAGCAGGGAAAGTTGGAACCCATATACATTACTGTGGGAATATGAAATGGTGCAGCCACAGTGGAAAACAGCTTGATGGTTTCTCAAAAGGTAGATATAGAATGACCATACAACCCAGAAGTTTAATCCTAGGTATATATCTAAAAGAACTAAAATCAGGTTTACAAATGGATACTTGTTTACCAAAATTCAAAGCAACATTATTCATAAGAGCCTACAGGTGGGAACAATTCAGTGCCCATTAGTAGATAAATAAATAAAAGAATGTGTCATATACACATATTGTGGACTATGACATTGCCATAAAAAGGAATGATGATCTGATACATGCTTTAACACTGATGTACCTTAACGACATTATGCTAAGTGAAATAAACCAGACAAAATAACAATATTGTAGGATTCTGCTTATATGAAAATCTAATAACTGTCAATTTCTTAAGAAAAATGATAGCTCTCAGGGGGCTGAGCAACGGAGAATGGAGAATTATTATTTAATAGGTACAAATTATTATTTGGGACAACAGAAAAGCTCTGGAAATGGCAGTTACAATAACAGTTTTACAATATTAATGTATTTAATATCATTCAAATAAATGTATACATGACATGATTATTTTATACATTAATAGTAATTTTTATCTTATTTCTTTAGTTACATTAAAACAAATAAACAAATGATCATATATCATGTCCCAAGGGGCTTCTCTCTCTCAGGTAGGTGGGGCTGCATAATTCTAGGTTCCTTTCTTTTTTAGAGTTGGTGATTAGACAATATCCTTATAGTGTGGATTTTTTTGTGTGTGCCAGTACTGGTGGTACTAGGGCTTGAACTCAGAGTCTGGGTGGTATTCTTAGCTTTTTCACTGAAGGCTGGCACTCTGCCAATTGAGCTATAACTTCACTTCTGGCTTTTTGGTGGTTAATGGGTGATGAGAGTCCCACAGACTTTTCTATTTGGTTGATTTCAAACCACAGCCCTCAGATCTCAGCCTCCTAATTAGATAGAAGCCACCAGCACCAACAAAACCCCGGATTCTTCATCAAGCCTCCTTCAGCATTAGATTTGTCTTCTCTGTGCTGCTTTGCCTCTTCTAAGAGGGAAAAACCACTCAACATTTCGATAATGAGCACCTCTCTGTAGGGAACATACATTTCAAATCAAGAGAGATGTTAGGGTTAGAAGGCCCTGAATTCAATGCTATGGTTCATTTATGCCATGCCAATTATATGCTATAAATAATTAAACTTTTAAAATGTGAGTGACAAGCAAAACTTAACCATAGAAAGAACTTTTTTAATTAGGTAGAACTGTCCAGTAAGATAAATGTAAGTTCAGTAAGAATAATTAAATTTGGAGCCATCTTTGCAAAATCTGTGTGAGATCCTTGGGCTACTTCTGACCCCTCCAGGAATATTGGCAAATAGCTGCCCCAACACGAAATTGGTTCTCTTATGAACCATTCTTATAAGAAGTTTTGACTTCTTTTCTGCTTTTTCAGTTATTAATAGAGAAATTCCATATACTTGATGGCTATGTAGGCATTTTTAACTCTTCTTAGAGATATAAAGCATAAAGATACTATTCTGGGTACATTTCCACATAGGTGAGT